AAACATTACGTCGCAATTTTCATGAAATAACCTACGTATTTTGATTTTTGTCAGTAAGTCTATCTGTTGAGCAAATTAATTATAACTGCAAGCACCATGTCCAAGATTGTCACGTCGGGTAATGAAAAGAAGACTGTGACTTTACAAGACGTTCAAGATGCATCCATTAGGATTGGTCCATTCATCAACCATACGCCTGTAATGACATGCTCTACCCTCGACAAAATGGCCGGAAAATCACTTTTCTTTAAGTGTGAAAATTTTCAAAAAACTGGAGCTTTTAAGGTGCGTATATGCAGTTTGAGTTAATCCCGATTTCTGATTGGCTTATACCGAATCAGCTGATTGCCCTGTGACATCATTTTGTTGATCGATATTGTAAAAAGGCAAATAAATGTTTCGATCAATCAATTTAGTTCCGTGGAGCCATGAATGCTGTAATAAGACTCACTGAAGGCAAATCTCAAGATAATCTTCCAGAAGTGGTCACTTACAGTAGTGGAAACCATGGACAGGGCGTTGCTCTTGCTGCCATGATTAAGGGCCTAAAGGCTCATGTTGTAATACCACATTATGCACCTGATATAAAGAAATCTGCAATTAGGGATTATGGAGCAAGGGTCATAGACACTTATGGACTTTCACAAGAGGTAAGTTATAAATACATTTGAATCAGTTTTGAACTCATTGTACTGTTTTTATATACAATAAACAAATTACTAGTCTTTACAACCCACCATGGTTGACTCATTGAAATTGACTTTATGCTATCAATTATTATGCGGCTAATGCTAAATATCATCTCATATTCTTCCTGGATTTGAAATGCAGGAACATGAGGAGGAAGCCAGGAATGTCTTAGAACAGACTGGACCCAATTCACACTTAGTTAGCCCATGTGAAGATGAGAGCATCATAGCAGGTCAGGGTACCATGGCCCTTGAATTGCTTCAGCAGGTACATTTTGATCTTCATCGTCCATTTTTGCTAAACCAACCCCAAATGACGTTTCTAACATGCTCTCAATTAGAGTGACGTCATATATCACTTGAGCGCTAACAAAAATTGCTTTAATCCCTCCAAATTTGACTTTATGTCAATGAAACTGGTCATCAAATTCATTTCTAATGTGTCCTGTGTCGCATAGCACGTGACGTCCGATGGAAAATCGAATGCGACTTCCCTTATTTTTGGTCATGTCAATCAAACCTGAGGAAACAAACTTTATGTCTATGTATCCTATTAATCACGGTGGAATGTGACGTCATTTATCTATGATGCAGTCATGTTTCGAACTGCGGTAAATAATTGTGTAATGAATATAGTACAAACACTAAAACTGTGCACTAAATACTGATAAATTATGCTAATTCTATTGTTTTCTATTTTTTAACTAGTACTATTTTGTAGTAAATAGTGCAAAGTGTTGCACGCTTTTAGTGTTTGTACTCTATGATTGTCGCAGTGTACATAAATAATCTAAGTGATTATTGATAAATGTATATGGATCGCCCGAAATGTTTTTCGGGCTTCAACTGGAATCAAACCCACCTCTGCGATGCCGTTTCAGTGTTCTACCAACTGAGCTATGAAGCCAACTATGTTGGCGAGCAGTAATTTAATGGTCTAAAATTGCCTATAATTTTTGTACTTCATTTGCAACTCCTTGATGTGTTTCAGGTGCCGGACATCGATGCCATTATTGCACCTGTGGGGAGTGGGGGAATGGTGAGTGGTATCTCCGTAGCAGCTAAAGGAATCAAGCCTGGTATAAAGATATTTGTAGCAGAACCATTGCAAGCAAATAAATGTACAAAATCGTTTGCAGCTGGCGAAAGAATACTTCTTTCTGGTTAGTGTTAACCAAACATGACAGGACCCTATTCAAGGGGAAAAAGGGGTGAAATTTTCAGAATGGCCACTTTTAATTATTTTCTTTAAAGCTGGCAAACAAAATTTGCAAAATGCGCGAAAATCGGTATTAAACCGCAAAATTAGGGAGATTTCAAGACGGGGAAAAAAAAAGAAAGAAAGAGACTGCAAAGCCTAACATAACCAACTTTACAGGGACCGTGGAGCAGGGGGCGCTTCAGGGCTAAAGCCCCCTCTCCTCCCCCCCCCCCCCCCCCCCCCTCCCAATAATTTTTCCGCCATTTTGAATTTTCTTAAATAAAGAAGTGAAGAGCCTCCTTTTAAAATTTCACTTTTCATTCTAAAAGATTGTGTAAAAACTGAGCATGAAAAATTAAAATTGAAGTCTTTGGGATATAGTGTGACCGCGTGTTAGCGGTCAGAAATACGTCTTGGATAACTCCTCAAAACGCTGGTATTTCAGGATACCATGGTACTTGAATTGCTTCAGCAGAACATTTCTGGAAGTTTAAGATTTCAAAATTTTCCGGGGGGAATACTTCCGAATCCCCCAGTGCCCCCTGCCCTCGGCAGCCTTTTACGTCACTAGTAGAATTTCAATGCATTGTGGGATCATGTAATGCCAACCTCGTTCCCTCGTTCAGCAGCCGGGCAAACCACCCTGTCATAGCGGTTTACTCACCGCAATCAATAGCAAATATGGAATTACCTTGGCTAATGAACTGCTTGTTATTGATGCAAGCTAATGTGACAAAAAATCGCAGAAAACTTTGAGGTTGTCGCCTTGAAGCCATATTAAACAAGAACGTTTGTCATAAGTCTATTCCATCTAAGAGGGTCTCAATGGGGTTAACCGTGAGCCGTGAAGCGGCTAAAAAATTAGCCGTGAGTCGTGAAAATGCGAAAAAATTAGCCGTGAGGCGTGAATATTTTTTTATAGCGTGAGCCGTGATTCAGTTTTGTCCCTCAGAAGGACAGTCAACTCCGATGTAAATTTAAAAAAATAAAAGCTTCAGTGGAGATTTTTCACAATTTTTCCTCGGTCCGTTCAGGAATTGTTTTCCCTAAATCTTTCACTCTTCCACCCCCACCCCCTCAAAATTCTACTGGATCGTACATCGAAGACTTTGAGTGGGAGCCGATCATATAGCCACTTCGTAAAAAAAAGTCGGTTCTCAGGAAAGTTCCAAAACACAAGAGATGACAATAATTCTGCAAAAAATAAAAAATAAATAAATAAAGATAAACAATAAATANNNNTTTTGACTTCATTAGCATACCCACCTACCACCTATTTTCGGGGCTCGATAACCGCTTAGGCGAAACAATAGAGAACAAAAGGACTATTGTTCGGAGATTAAGTGAAAGGCACACAAAAATGAATATGTAATAGCCCACAAAAATATTGAATATATTAACCCACAAATATTCATGAGCACACAGATTTTTTCCACAAATCCCACAGAAAATCCGGGCCCAACTGCTGACTCTATACTACTTCCAGATAAATATCAATATCAAAGTGGTAGTCGGCTAACATGGACAGCCTAGCTTTTTAAAGAGTGTTATTTTAGGTAGACAAATTATGCACTGCACTCACTAGAAAATCCACAGGCGTCCCAGGCTGGTATCCTGCGGCTTATTAATGGCGCGAGCGTTCAGTGGTTCGAATCACGGCCGATCCGCTTAAAAATTTTTCAAAATGGACTTTACGTGGGGGGAGAAAATATAAAAACAGCTTTAAAGTTAAAATTTTATTCAGAAAAAAATATCGTAACTACATAAGGATCCATTTTGTGAAGAAAAAAAAAACAGAAAAAAAAAATTTTTTTTAAGCGGTTCGGCCGTGATTCGAACCACTGAACGCTCGCGCCATTAATAAGCCACAAGATTACCAGCCTGGAACGCCTGTGGAAAATCGAACAAAATCTTCCTCGGAATAGACTCCTGAGCCTTTTACGTCACTAGTAGAATTTCAATGCATTGTGGGATCATGTAATGCCAACCTCGTTCCCAGGGCCCAGCGAAGGGATAAGGGATAAGGCCCTGGGAACGAGGTTGCATGTAATGCGCCAGCACCCGCGAACGCGGGATATATTCACAGTTCAGTTTTCTTTCTTCTTCCGGCGGGCGTCACTACATTGTGGGATCATGATCAATTCGTGGAGAAATCCGCCATGTTTTGTCCCAAACATATATCCTACAATGCAGTGCGTGCATGACGTAAAATGCGCGAACTTTTAGCGGGAATTTTGCATGACGGATTGCTTGGAGAACGTATTAGTATCTAAAAAAAATTCCCACTTAAATTAGAGAATAAACTAGCTAATTCACTTGTTATTTTTCATTTCAGAAGACTTACTTGTTTAAAAAACAAGTACAAGAATTTAATTTCTCCCAAAAGGGGGGGAGGGGATTTTGCCTCAGCTTGAAATTCGACAATGGAAAGAGGGACTCAATGGAGTTAACCGTGAGCCGTGAAACGGCTGAAAAATTAGCCTTGAGTCGTGAAAATGAGAAAAATTAGCCGTGAGGCGTGAAAATGAGAAAAAAATTAGCTGTGGGGCGCGTGAAAAAGCCAAATTTTTAGCCGTGAGCAGTGATGCAGACCCCCCCATTGAGACCCTCTGGAAATATCAGCAGCCGGGCAAACCACCCTGTCATAGCGGTTTACTTACCGCAATCAATAGCAAATATGGAATTACCTTGGCTAATGAACTGCTTGTTATTGATGCAAGCTAATGTGACAAAAAATCGCAGAAAAACTTTGATGTTGTCGCCTTGAAGCCATATTAAACAAGAACGTTTGTCATAAGTCTATTCCATCTAAAGCGCGATTACGGTGTAAATTACATTTTTTTACAGTATAGCCTAACTGAAAAATGAATTCAAAAATGAATTCAAAACTGCAAATACAAGAACATCTTTTTTCTTGTGACGAATCACACATTAGTCAAGAGGTTGTGCTAGGTATTGGGCAAAKTAATTCTGACTGAACCAGGAGCGATTTTGCGAGATTTTTTTGAACAAAAATTCAAAAAAAAGACTCGCTAAATAGTCGTCCAAATGACCTGAAACTTTACACAAAGAACAACTAAAAGAAAAGAGACAACACAGGATGGTTTTTTTTTTTTGATTTTTTAATTTTTCATCAAATTTTAGCTCAAAGCAGTAATGGGCTCCTGCTCAAAGCGTCTATTGTAGAGCTTGGGCTACCTGTGTAATAATTAGCGTCACGAGGATAGCCTTCGCCAGGATGATACTGAGAACAGGTCGTCCTACGAATGTTTGGCTTGGGGGCTTACGACCGCGGGATTAGGGGTCTAGACATTCTACCACAGAAGACTTTGAAATAATAAACCTCGGAAATGCGATTTATAGCATTTTGAGGGGAATCGAGAGTATATAAAGGAAATTTATGGAATAATAGAAAAATTATTAAAATAATAGCTTGGCATGAGAAAAGGCTGAAGTACTATAGCCTCTTAGCCCCCCCCCCCCCCCCCCCCCCCCCCCCCCCCCCCCCTCCTCTCGCAATATCTCTGAAGAAGAGAATAGAGTTAGATAGAAAGAGAGGGGAAATAGTTTCAGTGATCTGTTCTTACTGAAATAACATCCACCTGTGTGCTGCAATGCGGGTTCCTAAATAACAGATCAACCGAATTCTAACTCGTTATGATCACCAATAATGGTGCCTGTCTTAGCAAAAAAGACTAAAAATAAATTACTTAAGCAAGTTGGCCAAATTACTCATTATTTCGCTCGTGAAAAGCTCCACATCAAGTGATCAGCGGGCTACCTGTGGATTTATGACGYTTTTACAAATCCACTTCCGGCGGATACGGGGAGTTTCTGTGACGTCAACCAGTAGACAAGAAGGAACAATGGCGGAGCCACCAAGCGCCTTTCAGGAATCGGAGTATGAAGCTTCTTACCCTAAAAGATTCCGGTATTCGCGAAATTATGGCACAGAAATGTGAGTAATGAAATTCTGAAATCTCTTGTCTAAAAATGGGGGGCGATTGTTGTCTATTTACATGGATAAACGGGGTACGAAAACTTTAAAAGAAGGCAAACTGGAAATACTTTGCACATTGCATATTTAAGGTTATTGATGCCGGCTTCGTTTTGCTGTGTTTTAGTACTTATAAAAAGGTAGTATTGCTAAAGGTGTCGTATATGTAACTATATTTGTTTTTTGTAGTGGCGAGAAAATCATCTATTAGTGGAATTTGTGAACAGAAAATCGAACGAGGTTTTCTWATCTTGCATGACGAGCTCTCCTGGCAATTCGACTAAATTCCGCATATCAACTTACCACACATTGCAAATCCCTTAGAAAAAATGTGTTATTGTAAACCAATGGTTATTAACCATTACTCTATTATCTATCACTTTATGATCGGTGGTTCTTTCGTCTTCAGGGTTCAGACATTGATTCAAATGGCTAAAAAAAAAAAACACTAAACAACAACCTGCCAAATTTATATCTGTTTGTTGATCTTTTTCCTCAGTGACAGAGAAGAACAAGAAGAAAAAGCAGAAGTAAAGAAAGAAACCACGGTATAATTGCAAATTTATTACCACATAGAACTTTGTCTGCATCAAGTGCAGTAAAAAAACTGATTTTCATTTTAGCCTAAGTACATTTACAGTAGTTTCATACCTGGATATTACTTAAAGGACATTGCCAATCAAAATGAAAAGCAAATATGAAAGTGAATGTTGAAAAA